GAACTAACTTTTTGTCTAAGGTCGTTGCAGAAGTTTGTAAAATATTTCAAATTCAAAAGGTCAATACTTCTAGTTATCACCCACAGACCGATGGTCTTGTAGAAAGGTTTAATTCTACCTTGTGTCAGTCTTTGTCAATGTACCTTTCCAAAAACCAGAAAGATTGGGACGAGTTCATACCGCTTGTTTTGTTTGCGCATAGGACTTCTGTTTTAGATGCGATTGGGGATTCTCCTTTTTACGTTCTTTATGGGCGAGTGCCACGCTTGCCAATTGACGTTAAGTATTTGCCCCCTGCGGCTGATGATTTAAGTACTTCGGTTCTTGACTATCGAAAACGTGTTGCTGAAAGGGTTGAGTTAGCGCAAAATGTAGCTAGAGAAAATTTACAACCTGCACAACAAAAAATGAAGGATTATTACGATCAAAAGACAAAAGAACCTGTTTTTGAAGTTGGTCACCGTGTTTGGGTTTATACTCCGAGAACTAGAAAAGGATTATCTAAAAAGTTAATGCATAACTGGTTGAGTCAATACAGAATCGTTGAGAAGTTGTTGCCAGTGCATTTTAAGAGCCATTACCTGAGAAAATCGAAAATCGCACGACACTCGTCAAAAATTCGAATTTTTTTTTATTTTGCCAAAACATCCCTTTTAGTGACCTAATCTAAGGAAAAATAGTTTTGGGTTCAAACGATTCATTTTAAAGGAGAAATTAGGAAAAGTTTGAAAAATCGATTTTATGCTCGTTTTTCGCACAAAACACGGCAGGATGCAATGGCAACTTCGAGAGAAGGGTGAAAGCGTAAGAAACATTCCCTGACATTGAAACTTCACCGAATTATTATTTTGTTCTTACTCTTGAAAATCCTAAAAGAAAATTTGATAAACAATGCTTTACATTTTTATGATCGACAAGTGTAAAGAGGTCATATTTGTGACGTTAGACGTGCCAGAAAATGAAGGCCAACTTTGACTATTAAAAAAGGCCTCTGGTATATGCCGCTTGATCATAAAATCAATATAAAATGGAACCTTGGCTTTTGTACTAACTTACTGGAAAGTTTTAGCTCTGGAAATCAAATATCATCCTGACACCAAAGCAAGCGGTGAGAGCAATTGAATTGGGAAATTTATGCAAATTAGACGGCTTGCGGACGGTTGTCAAACTAAAAGAAAGGTTTTACATGAAAGGATTACTCACCATTGCTTGTAACAGGTTTTTACGGCAAGGAAAGTTATTTCCGACTTCTTCTGCGTCGGTTTGAGTCACAAAATATATAATTTTTAGCCAAAAGACAAACGTACGTTTGCTCAGCAACTTATGACGCGCCATAGGGGACAAAAATACTTGTGTGAATTTGTGTACAACTTGTGTGGATTTATACACAACTTATCCTTGTCGAAGATAACTTCCTACAAAACATTTACAACTTTGCTGTCAGGTCTACCACTTTCAGCTTCATTTACTTGACTTCTAACAAAATATGTACAACTTGTTTGTCAAACAAACCACTTATCGATCTATTCACACAACTTTTAACTTGTAGACATCAAGGTTGCTTTGCAATGAACGACGTGTTGTTTACATGTTTGACTTAAGGCAGTTTTTATAACTCACCTACGAAATACACGACTTAGCATTGTTTGAGTACAACTTACTCTATGAAATATAGAACTTCTTCAACATTTTCGTCCTACTTGTTATCGATTTTCGATATTTTTGACCGCGCACTCCTGAGAACTAGGTAGTCGCATGTAAGCGAGGCTTAGAGGACACAAGATGGCTGACTCTGTGGCAGGCAGTTTCCACTGTAAACCGGTTCCTTGGTTAAAAGAATACTTGAAACAAAGGGGCATTCAAAGCTCAGGAAAACGAAAGGTTGAACTGGTAGAATTTTGTGAGAAAAGTGAGGAGATGAAAGTCCCAAAAATTACTGAAGAAGAAGCACCAGTCGATCCAAGAATTTCTATGAAAGAGCAACTGAAGACCGATAAGGGAGATCTCGCAAATCCGTTGGATAAGGAAAACCGTGTTTTTTCCCAATGGACCAAAAACTGTACTAACGTACCGGACTTTAGATTCCCCGATCTTTTTAATTACCTGGTGGGAAAACATCCCGTATACAACAGCGAAGGCCTAAAAAGTTACAAATCTCGATTGGGGTACAAATTATTTTTTGATGGACATGTGGAAGAACTTTGGTATCACCCACCTCAACCCAATGGTAATTAAAGTTATTTTAAGTTTGCTGTAAAGCCAACTGAAAAATTCAAGACTGATGATGGTTCAGCAACATACAGAGGGTTTTTCATTTTAAAGAAGGATGGAAGTGTCAATTCAGCCTACTGCTTATGCAAAGGAGGGTATGTATTTTCTTCTTTTGATTTCTGAAGCCTGTCTTTGTGCTTGATATTCCATAAACATACGTTGGAGAATCAAAACTTTTGGTCTTTTCAGTTGTTTTTCTCTGTGACAGGTTTTGTTTTATTCAGATTCGAAGGTTTATATTTCCCTGGTAGCAGTTGTAACATGAGTAAAAGGTAGATGCCTCCTGAGTTGAAGATCTAAATCAATAGATGCATTATTTTAAGTCTCAAACCTTTTGGATCATTTATGACTTCAGCACTAAGTATTAAAACAATCAGTAGTTCAAAGTCAGGATCTGTGAGCCTAGTAACTGAACTTATTGGCTACTTTACAGTCTATCAGTGTGAACAATGTGAGATACATATTGGTCATATTGGTCCTCCTTTAAACAGGGCAGATGGAGGTTGCCGGCACATAGCTGCAGCATTGTTTGAACTAGAAGCAAAGTTGAGATTTAATGATCTCCAATCATGTACATCAGGACAGTGCATGTGG